ACAAAGGCACACACAACTCAGTGGGGGAAGTGGCGTGTATTTCTTCCAAGCTGCCGTTGTCACACCCAAAAGTGCTTATTGGATGCTAAAATGTTAATTTGGCAACCTGGCAAACATTGCTAATTGATGCGCTGCGTGAAAAAAAATGAAATTTTAATCCAATTTTGTGACAAACAACAACAACATCAAAAGGCAGTACAGGCAGCAGGATTTTTGCTCACGTTTTATTCCTCTTTTAGCCCACAACCAAGTAGTGATTATACATCCTAAAATGAATACAGGTGAAGCTTATTTAAGCTGCAATAATAGTAACAGTAACTAATTGTTTAATGCAGAGGATAAATAATACACGTCTGCCAGTGTTGTCTTGTGACGAGTTGCATCACTGTTTGGTGTCGAAATACCCATTGCTAAAGCATTACAACTACTGTGACATCAATGCTACTTTTTCTAGCCCTTTTATGGGGTTTTACATTGTGTGTTCGCATTAAGCTTTTGTAAGACAAAGTAAATGTGGTTTTTGCCACTATCTGACACCAGGAACTCTTATGCAGTCAAGGAAAAAAAAGGCTAGCCACTCCGAGTTGTAGTTACCGCTAAAACGAAAGAATGACAGTTACAATTTGTTTAATTTAAACAAGCAAAAAAACCAGCATAATGAACGGGTAGTGCTAATTAGTTGTGGCCCTTTAGCCCATTCAGCAACCGAATGAACACAAATGGCAACACGCAGACAGACATTACAGCAGCACTCAACAGTCATATATCCCCAATCCTCTACTTAGAACGACATCTCTTAGCGCCGCACTGACGAGCTCAGAGAGGAGTTAAGACGTTGTCGTGAATTCGCCGCTGTACCTGGCACCGCTCTAATGGAAAGATGAGGCGGATCCACCTTTCAGTATGACGGAAGAATGCGAACAAGAAGGATGTCCTTGTATGTGTGTGTAGGACTGGCAGTCGCCATGCAAGGAAGCAGAGATGCTCATTTTGTCTGCGTGTGTGTGTGTTGCTGTGATTGGTCCACAGGGTGTAGGCTGAGAGGTCAGAGTGGTCAAATGAGCCTACTCAAGTGTTCCGCTTGCTTTTCAAAGCTACTCAAAGCTACTCAACCCCCACAATCCGTGTGTGTGTGTGTGTGTGTGTGTGTGTGTGTGTGTGTGTGTGTGTGTGTGTGTGTGTGTGTGTGTGTGTGTAATAAAGCTGTAAAAGACTCTAGCCGAGCACAATATGTCTCTTGATGCCCTTGCTGGCCTTCTGGGCATGTACACTACAGTCGGGTGTAGTGCATTGACGTCTCTGATCCGCTGGTGAAAGGGGACTTTGATTGCGCTTTCATCTTTCACCCGCTTCAAACTAAACAAGGCGTACGAAGGAATAATTGTTCCACTTGTGTTCATGTCGATGGTTTATGCGCTCTGTTCTGTTGTATTATTGTTGTTATTTAATGTGAAATGTTCTGTCAGGCGCTTTCACAACATAGGTTTCAAGTCAGGGGGCGGGTTCAAACTCTGGGTTCAAAAAGAGGGTTTCAAGGCAGCGGTAGGGTTTGGAACAAAGGTTAGGGGTTCAAATTAGGATTAAAGACAGGGTTAGGTATTGAGGTCAACGTTAGGGGTTCAAGCCCGGGTTTGGGTTTTGAGCATTTATGGTTTGAAGTTTGGGTTTAAAGCCAGAGTTGCGGTCTCAAGTTAGGATTTCAGATGAAGATTTCAAGATTGAGTTAAGGGTTCAAGTCAGGGTTGGGGGTTCAAATTAGGGGTTTAAATTAGGGTTTTAAGCATGGGTTAAGGTGATAAATTAGGGTTCCAAGACACGCTTAGGGTTTCAAGATAGGTTTATGATTTCAAACACTGGGTACAGTTGGAAGGTTGGGATTTAAGTCAGAATCAAGCTTTCAAGTTTGGATTTCTAATTCAGGTTTCAAGTCCGAGTTAGGGTTTCAAGTCAGGGTCGGGTTTTCAAGTTTGGATTTTGAATACAGGTTTGATGTCTGAGTTTGTGTTTCAAGTCAATATTGTGGTTTCAAGTTCGGGTTTCAAGCCTGGTTGAAAGCTTCAAACAAAATTTAAGGTTTCTAAATGATGTTTATTGAATTCGGTTTTCAAGCCTGGGTTAAGGTATCAAATTTTCTTGGAAACTCTGACAGCTATCTTACTGTACCGACCCATTCCTGTCCGTACTTTAACGCACCATTTCGCGCCGTCATTTCCGTCACGTATTGTAAGTTGTCATTGACATGAATTGGCGAGTTAGCAACGCATCACGTTGACGTCCCATCAGGTGCCGCGTGTGCTCGGTCGTGGAAGGATGCCGCTGGAACGTTCCGCCTGATGTTGCAATCACGGGATTGAGGCGGCGTGGAGGGACGGTGGGATGAGGGGAATGAGGGCGGGTGGAGGTCTTTGGGGCGTGGCGTCACGTTGACGAACGTGTGCAGCAGCGGCGGGTCACGCCATCGCTAAAGCCACGGTTGCTAGGAAACCGTCTCCCCCGCACT